CACTCTTTGAATTTGTTTTTGCTGTACACTGGGAATGAGGTCAAAACAGTTTCCATCTTACAAGACCAGATTTAGAGGGGAGGGGTGGGGATACCCAGTGCCCACTACCTCTGGGAGTGTAAATATGTTTGGAGATGAGGTCAAAACTAGTTCCCATCTGAAGGGACCCAATTTAGAAGGGGTCGGATATCCGGTGTAGGAAGAGGGGAGGAGTAATGAGGTAGCCTCCCCACCCCTCTTGTCTAGACTTCTCTCCTGATATATCTGAAGAAAATCAAATATGTTCCATCACCCTGTCCAAGAACAAACTCTCTTCCATGTCCTGTACTTCTTCTAGAGCAGATTCCATGAGTATCTCTCGGTAATCATTGCGCATTTCATGATCCACTCCCCTCTTCCTCGAATCAGGCATGTACACGTAGTTACCCTCCTTGGCTCTGATACGACCACGTGCCTGGACACTGGAAATTTCATTTCCCAGCATTCCATAGCGAATGACGTAGCTGCAGTCAGAGATGTCCAGTCCTTCTTCAGCAACGGTTGTTGCAATGATGATGTTTACTTCTCCGGTTTTGAATTTCTTGATCACTGCTTCTTGTTGTGTTTGGGATAGACCAACTGTACGAGACACCATAATATCAATCAGTCTCGACAAAAAAAAAAAAAAAAAAAAAAAAAAAAAAGGGTAAAATGCAATTAACGAAGATGTGTTTTTTTGATAATTTTTCAATCGAGAGATTGAAGGCGGACTTGCTTATCTTCATATCTATACACAATTGTTGTTAGTGTGTGGGGGAGTATAAAAATCACCAGAGGGTGTGTATAGATATGAAAACGAAGATGTGTAAAATGGTAAAAAGAGTTAAATAGAATTAAATTAAACTTACTCTCTCCATCACCACTTCCAACTAATACTTCTGGTTTCAAGATCTCGGTTAGTTCTTCTGTTTCCATCATCCATCTCTTTAATGCCACAGTATAATCCCTTGTACGAGTGAATAAAATCCCCTTCGCTTTTGACTCTTCATTTTTTTCATGAAATTCAATGATTAACTTTTCCAAACCTTTTAGCAGAGGATTGTCGGGCTTGCCGTTTTCATTGATGTGGTCTTGAATCCGCTTCATCGTTTGATTGTAGAATTCTTGAAGAAGGGTACAATTTTGGGTGAACATAGTCGGGTCGCGATCGTCGAAGTAATCCGAGAGATATTTTATTGCGTCATCGATTCTTACTGTGTTGTTGATGAGTAGGGCCTCATGATACCTGTAATGTACAATGAACGATATCATTATACACCATCAGACATGCCACGAGGACCATCATCTTCATCACTACCACCACCACCATCATTATCTTCATCATCACCACCATCATCATCATCATCACCATCATTATATCTTACACAACTTCACCATCACCACCACCATCATTATCTACTTTAATCATTTACATCATCATCATTACCATCACCATCATCGTCACCACCATCATCATTTTCATCATTACCATCACCATTATCTACATTATCATCGTCACCACCACCACCATCATCGACATCATAATCATCACCACAACACCATCATTACCATCCATCATAATCATCACCATCAACTCCTTCACCGACGATTCTGTTTTCGATCAGTACATCAATCATACTTTCTTACCTTCTCAGTTGTTCTGCGCAGGTGAACCTGGTACGATTGTCTGAAATCTCGGTATCATTTTGGAGCAGTTCGATCCATTGTCGGTAACTTTCCAACTGTCTATCTGTTGGTGAAGCTGCTTGAGGTCTTGACGTGTTTGGTCGCAACTTATTCACGAAAAGTTCTATTTCTTCCATTGTCTGTAAAGCAAAAATAAAATGTCAGTTGGTATTTGATAACCAAGGTTTATATCGCATTGATCATTATACATAGTCCTTGTCCATTCTTGCACCAGCTTCGGATATTATTATTAATTTACAAAAATGAGCTGAAAATCTAAAAGAGAGCCGCTTTGCAGCTTCACGCAACGGCAGCCATGACAGGAGGCAGGAACAATAGCGCAGCGCACTGATTCTAAAAAAAGCTCAAAGATTCGGACAAACATTGCATTCTGTTTAACCGCTATGAGGATAATACGAGCCGATTTTATTATTTTTACTTRAAGTTACAGTAATAACCCATGTAAACTAAGATCAACTGCGATCGGCTGTGAAAATTATCTGCTGGAAGTAAACTTGTAAGTTTATTTAACTGAGTTTCGCCTTTGTCTTCGTTTTTATGACGTCACGGTTGCGCTGCGCTATTGAATCTGGACTAATCTGATTTACACGAGAAAGAATTTAGTTTCCCAGGGGAAAGAAACTCTTAAGCCTCCTGTCATGGCTGCCATCACGTGATGGTGCAAAGCCTCTAGATCTATAGGCATTTTATGAGTTGGATAAACAACGTCCATTCTGGTCTAGACATGACGCATTAACGTAACCATTACTTTATATTCCTAGAAGCGACTACTTAAATTCTGATTCAATCTATTACCTTGTTAACCTCGATTTCAAAAATGTTTTGCACATCATGATTGACAGGGGGTACGATCCTCTTAACAGGCACGTGCCCAGTGACGTTGGCTAAGAGGTCTTCTAAGTTCTCACGGACAGTGCTGATTTTTGAGGCGTCTAAGTTGGCACACATCTGTAAGATGTATTCCTTGGCTTTGTCTTTGGTGTTGGAATGACCAACACCGAGAGAAGCGGTAAGACCAATGACCTGAAATACATCCAAGTACCTTAGTACTATATTATACTTGCCTTCATTTTTGTTGGTGTTAAGATACGGAAGCAGCCCTTCGGTGTAGCGAGTGGCGACACGGAGAAACGTTATAGTGATGTAGACATCGAACGCAGATCGTACGGGCGGGCGTTTGGGTTGTAAAGCTTGCTATACTCGTTTCGTGTTTGCCGTGTCATTGTTTATCGAAGGAGTGGTTAATATACAATGCTCTATCCAATGGCAGAGAGCAATGAGACTCTCTCGCGATCTCTTAAGCCGATGATCCAAACGAACTTGAATAATCATTGAAGTAGACCTTTTTACTTTGCGTCTTATGCTTTCTCTTTTCAGACGTGTCATTCTCTTGAGAATAAGATTCTTTGCATCAGTTGTATATCAATATTGATTCATGTGTCTTCTCATGCACAACCGTTATACAAAGAAATATAATACTTTAGGGAATAACAGGTGTTTTGAAATGGAAAAACATTACGCCCAAGATAATAAGGTTTGACGTCTATTAAAGTTTGTCAATAGCACCGAAGAGAACTTGGAAGAGATAATGGAAAAGAAGCACAAAGACTTGGTAGAAAAAGAATAGGACGTTTGCACGATGGCGTTATTTGACTCCCACTACCAAAATGCTTTACGAATTTTCTTTCTTTCTTAATTAAATTTGTATTCCCTCATGAGAATAGTAAGACAATATATTTTGGTGCTAATAAACTGAACAAAAGGAAGTGTGCAAGGAAGTCTGGTAGTAGAGGTCAATGACGCCATCATGCAAACGTCCTATTGTAATATAAAGAAGAGAAAACAAAGAGAAAGGGATAAGGAAAACAATTATAAGAAAATAAAAAGGGCAGCGAAGGGGACTCACTACCTGAGGCAGATTCTGGACATTTTTCTTGATTTTTAGATCCAGATATTCCTGCATGATTTGGTTGTACGGGTGATCCTTGTTGGCATGGTGACATTCATCAAACACTAGAAGTGTTATATCTGTAATATGGACTGATTTGTCAACCAGGGCGTTCACCAGTATCCCTGCAGTCAACACGACTACATCATCTTCCTGGATCCTACAGTGAAGAGGAATCACATCTGAATTGCTTCCCGAGATATCTGATATGCTGTAGTTCGTCAGATACTCCTCAAAACGGGCTCTTTGTTGAAGCACCAAGTTTTGCTTATCCACCACGAAGATCACCTTGGGTCTTGACACATCCTTGCAGGCTGTATGGATAGAATTAAAAGTAGCATTTAAAGCATTGTATATCATAGATCCTCTATGATACCCAAGCCATACTTGAGAATGTCATCAAAAAAACCAGGGTTGTTTGCTGCTATCCTTCCACTCCTACTCGTAATGATGACAGACCACGACCAAGTTTGGGCAAAAAGACCAAAATGACCCAGACCTCTTTAGCTTGGGTAAAATGTTTTGCCCATTTAAGACCATGTGTCATTCCTTAGAGTATCATTTCTTTGTTTAACAGTTGTGCACGAGAAGACACTTGAATATGGATACAACTCAAACAAAGAATCTGATCCTCAAGAGAATGAGAATGACACGTGGTCTGAAATGAGAAAACATTACGCCCAAGGCAAAGAGGTCTATCTTTATTTTATTTTATTTCTATTATTTTATTGTGCATGTTGTATGTTCTATCTACCCACAATAACCATGCTTTACCTTCAATGCCATCTTTATAAACATCAAGGTGTCTTTTAGCAATCTCCATAGCAACGAAGGTCTTGCCACTGTTGGTTGGTGCACAGATGATGGTGTTCTTGCCTTCCAGGGCAGACGTTGCTAGCTCTTTCTGGTACTCACGAAGTTTGAGTTCACAGCTGAGATTGTAGGTACCGTCATCCAAGTATACTAACGATTTGATAACAAAGTTCAATTTGATAGCATTGGTAAATGCATTTAGTTTTGAAGCAGGGAGGAGAGGGTGCAGGGAAAATTTTGTTGCTTACCTCGTGGAATAGGTTTTGCACTTTTAATGYTTGAAGTTCCTTCTGGTCTTGAACCTGTTGAAACACAAATGTAGTCGACTAAGTGGAGGGTCTAGACCCCTTTGGACTAAATTTCCCTACCCCAGATTCAAAATAATGAAGTATTAACAATATAAACGATTTCAATTCTCAAGATAAGATCATTTACCTTGTGTTACGAACTTTGTATCATCTTCCAAAGAGCTTGTTTTTTCTGAGTCTGAAAAACCTAGTTTAGAATCTTCTGAAAAACGAAACACAAGGAGAAGTATGACAATACGATAATGAAGAATACGATCGCTCAGGGGATAAGCTCTATTTATTTTTTGGCACTTGTCAAAGATGGTTTTTGCTACTAATTTATATCTCTATTGAGCGATCAACCTCTTTTTAGTGTCCACTCATCAACAATTTCCCTTAGGTTGAAATTATTATTTTTGATTTTTAACACTGCAGTCATTTTTTACAAAGCTATTGCACTGAGACAACCGAGATAACATATCGTTTTTGCCGATATTTTTGTGTACCTTTAGATGAGTTCAAAGGTTCCTTGGCAGTTTCTGTTTCGACATCTTCTTTAGTTCCTGTTAGAGTCAATATGTTACTTTTTGGCATTAAAAAAACATTGCAAAATTCGAATCCGTTAAAATTGGTTTTATTTTTATCAAATGATTTATGCAAGCAGCGACTAATTCAATCTCTTTAAGATTATTTTTTACCTGCAAGAATGCTTTTGATAACAATATAATCTTTTTCTTGGAACAATATCTCCAAAGACAAGTTCCAGGTTATGCTCTTTCTTGACTTTAAAGCTTGGTGGAGCTTTTTGTCCAGGGATTTGTCCTGGTAAATTTTCCACAGCTCGTCGAGAACGCTAGCTTTGGCCACTCTAAAAACAAACACTATTGAGTCCTTCTTGCTTGTGGGAAGACTGCTCGTTGCATTATTATCTTGGCTATCGCTGCCCAGCTGCTTAGTGTGAACAAAATATATTCCTTTTGGTAGCACCTTGAATGAAAAAAAACAGTTTTGATTTCAGAAAAGTTTAAACTATTAGTTATTGAATCTGTGCTGCATGGTATGGCAGGGATTTGAGCACTCGAATTTTGCAATTTCAATGACAAATCACTTGGCTCGTGATCACTGCCTAGATGCTTCGTGTGAAGAAGATATATTTCTTTTAGAAGGACAAATGATATGAAAAAAACCGTTTTGCTCACATGCAGGAAAGTTTAAACTAATGGTTCTGTGCTGCAYAATACGATTCAGGGATTTTAGACTAGAAATTCACATAAAATATATCATTCCTTGGATTTTTTTCCTGCTATGGTTCACACTTCCTCGCGAACCAAGTCTGGTAAAATTATTTCTGCCGCTCGTTTGTTCACAAAGCATCCATTCATACCTTCTGGAAATCTTTTCTTAAAGTCTTGGACTCATCAGACGAGCTGTTGCTGAATGAAGATGCAATATTTCGTTCTAAATCTGATCGTCTCGAATATTTTTTTTCATCAAAGATACGCATTGAAATCATGACGTCTGAAAAATAGGAATTGGAGAGAAAGGAGAGAGATTTGGAGTAAATGAAAATACTGAATTACTTTTCTCAGGGACTTGCAATTGGAGTCTTACCTACAGCGGAACCAATAACTGAGTAGTTAGTGTCCTCTTTGTCTATTGTGGTTTCATCCTCATCGCTGTGCTCTGAACAACAGCAACAAAAGTTAATGGTAATGGCATTAGTATTAATAACTATGACTATAGAAATGGATATATTATAATGATGATAATAACGTTGTTGGTGATGGTGTTAATGAAGATGATATTCATGATGATGATAACGACGATGTTGATGTCGGTGACAAAAAGGATGCTGTTGATGATGATTTTGATGATGATGATGATGATGATAATGACGATGATGATGATTTTAATGACTACGCATGGTGACGATTTTGATGATGATCACAATGATGATGGAGATGACGATGTTGATGACGATTTTGATAATGATGCTGATGATCATGATCATGATCTGCTGCTGATGATGTTTATGATGATGATGATGATTTGTTCTATTCACCTTCAAAGTCAGCATCCAGTATCACAGCCACATGGCCAAGATCAGCTTTACGAAGTGCACGAACAAACTGTACAAAACCTTCCTCGTGTTCTTCTAGTTTCTCCACCAGTGTTCTAACACCTTTTGAGGTTTGAAAGGTTTTTTCATCGTGTGCTATCTGATCTTTCTGCTCTTGCGTCAAACATGGCAGGTTGTCTAGGATTTTGGTTGCTATAACATCATCTTGGAAATTAGGAAGACGTTCCTGAAGAAGAAGGCGTTGATCTTCTGCCATCAGGACGTGTCTTGAAGACTCATTTTGCTTTTCAATCAGTGACCTTGTCCGTTGCCCTGATATAAATAATGATACTTTACAATGCTAATGTCACGTTATGTGACATATGGGACAACTGTCCCATCTCATCACACATGTCACACATATCACACCTAAACACACTGCACTTCATTGCACTGCACTACACCACACAATAGCTTTATGCAGCAGCAACGACACTAAACAACACCAGACCATGTAACCTAACACCACAATACACTTATGTTATCTTCCATACCATACCACACCATACTTTACCCAACTAGGTCATCATGCCACAATAAACTATAAAACGAGTTTAAGGGCATTGAAATAAAATGACACCACACCATGCTACRCCCAACTCACCACACCACTGGGTGTCACATGACATCATACCACACACCATACTACACCCAACTCACCACACCACTGGGTTCCACATGACATCATACCACACCATACTACACCCAACTTACCACACCACTGGGTTCCACATGGCATCATACCACACCATACTACACCCAACTCACCACGCCACTGGGTGTCACATGACATCACACCACACACCATACTACACCCAACTCACCACACCACTAGGTGTCACATGACATCATACCGCACACTATACTACAYCCAACTTACCACACCACTGGGTGTTACATGACATCATATCACACACCATACAACACCCAACTTACCACACCAAAGGGTGTCACATGACATCATACCGCACACCATACTTCAAACAACTTACCACACCACTGGGTGTCACATGGCATCATACAACACAATACTACACCCAACTCACCACACCACTGGGTGTCACATGACATCACACCACACACCATACTACAAACAACTCACCACACCACTGGGTGTCACATGACAT